TTTTTTCTATTAAACCTTGAACCATCTGAAGTTGTTGTCAAGTAACACATACAAGGACACAAATATTCCAAAGGCTTTGTGGCCCACAGACAAAGTGAGGGATACCTCCCTTTTTCTGGCAGGGCATCTGTGCCTTTATTAGCTCTGTAACAGGCAGCTATTCAACAGGGAAGGGGTTTTTTTATCATGGCAATAGTATGGATGGAAAAGACTTCTTCAAGCACCCTATGATTTTAAATATTTAAACGAGCTATTTTAAACCGTTTTTACCTCAGAAGTGTTTGAAAGGTATAGAAAGTAGGCTAAAACTTGTTTTCACTCATGCTTTACAAGGTGGCCATTGTATTTCTTTCCCTGTAGAGGCAAACGGGAAACTTACAGAAGAGAAATCAGAAGACACAGACTGTGATGGATCATCTTTGCCCGAAGACTTTCCAGAGGTAAAATAAATTTGATGCTAATGGTAGCATCTTAAAAAATTTCAACAAATCTAGTACCAAATTTCTGAAATGTTTCAGCTCTTTGCAGTTCTGTGACATACACCAGCCCTGTTCTTCGGAGGCTTTGCGCTTCTTCCTTTCCTATCTGATTTTAATTTACAGGGAAAGGATAGCATAACCATGTCCACTTGCAGGAAGACTGTTCCTTCTATCCTTTACCCCAAACTCTGCTGCTGCCAGCTGAAAAGAAGTTCCCCTATAGGATTGTTGTATTATGCAGAAGCTAAAAATAAGGGGTGGATGGACGTTGTTATCAAAAATAAGCCCTGAATATCCCTGATTATTCCTGATTATTGTGTAAATAAACCCTGAAGCCAGCTAATTCTGTTGGGGATTTGCCAGTCTTCTGAAGCTGCTGCTGTTGAGACCGCCCCTCTTTCGTTAAAACTAATCTACTGCAGAAATTCAGAAAACTGATTTTTCATTGACGCTCCGCCCCACCCCATAATTCATACCGAACTGTGTTAACTTGTTTTTCTTCTTTAGCCACCGCCGATGAACGGCTGTGAAGATCATTGTAATGACAGAGGGATTTCTGAAAGGTGAGACCTTTTCACAGAGGTGTTTTTCTAACACCAGGAATGAAGGAAAATAAAGTATAGGCAACCTGCATGTAAAGCATGTATATCTTAAAAAATGATGTTCCTTTCATCAATGTATAAGGAATGCTTGTCATGGGAAGAGCCTATTGCTTTCATAAGGGATGACACAGTCACGGATTTCACCCACGACATGATGAGTTTTTCAGTAACATCATAAAATGCAATGATGGGATCAAATTGTAAGCAGGTTAGGTTTGGGTCTCTCAAACGGGTGAAGCTGCCTTATACTGAGTCAGACTGTTGGTCCACCGAGCCCAGTATCATTTCCGCTAACTGGCAGTCACTTTCCAGAGATTCAAGAAGAGAAACCTCCCAAAAACCTGTTGCCTGAAATCCTCTTTAGAGAGGCTCGTGACTGAACTGTGAACCTTCCGCATCCAAAATGTATGAACTGCCACTGAACTGTGTCCCCTCCTTGTGCGGATCCTGTGGGCAATGAATATGGGTCAGTGCCTGCCATCAACCAGATGTAGGGTTGGTTGTCTCTTGTGTTGCTAGGATTGTTAACAGGTGACTTTCAAACCACGTTCCAAGGATTCATGTGATTCCTTGCAGGCTCACCTTGGGGTTCCTCAGAAGGCAAAAGAATGAAGGACCTTCCCTGTAAGATAACTTGCCCACCATATACCAAAGCTTCCCTGTGGTGTGTAGCCATGGGGCAAATGTTCAGTGTGTTCTAGGGGTTCTCTCAATTCGTTTGTTGAAGTACAGCAGACCTGTGTGAAATGTTGTTCACACAGCGGCTAACCAGCTTCCTCTAGGAAGAAAACGTCTTCATATCCCATCAGCACACCCATCAGCCTTAGTGGATGAACTTACTTTGCAAAGCCTCTTTTGCACTGCCAACAGTACTGCAAGCACTCCTCTCAATATAGCCCCGTTTTCAGACTTTTGCCTAATCTTTGCCATCCACCATACAGTTGGGCGTGCTTAAGAGAGTGAGCTGAAGTATGCTTAACACTGTCGGATTGGGACTTTTTGTCTGTTGAAAACCCCTACTTTGTGTTTGACTTTTACAAGGGGAGCTCTCAGTGTTTAGATTCTTGGAAAACAGGAGCGCTAATTTATTGCTTTCATTTGTTGAACTGACAGCAGATGCGATGGCTCTGTGCCACCTGATTGGATGCGGTGTGCCGTAGATATCTGGTTTAATTTGCCATCTGTTGGCTGTATTATTTTTGTTACATACCCTCAAATAATTCGACCGTCAAAGTATGAACAACATCCGTCTGCTATTCAGGAATCCTTATGACCACAGAGACTATCTAAAATCTCTTTTTAAGAAGGATTCTGGCCATGCCCCAGGGCCCTCCAGCAGCTATTCTGTTGGCTTAACTTGGTTTCCCCTAAGTTGGGGCCCGAATGCATGTTGCCTTGATTAACTGTTGGCAAAAGCAGAGGAGTCTTCCGACTGGCCAGGTCTCAAGGCAGTGCCTTATCTTACTGGTGTGTTGCAATACTTACTTGTTTGTCACCTTTGCTGTCCAGGGAATGGGCAGGAGTATTCGTGTTTACCTTACGGCTAATAGCCACTGATGGACCTCTGATGGTCCCTCCGGCCGATGCTCCCCCACAACTGATATAAAGAGGCACGCTAGCTCTGGTACTGGAAGGAGTAGATACCCATCATGACTAGTCTCTATTGATGGCCCTGTTCTCCATGAATGTGTTGGCTACCTTTTTAAAGCCTTCCAAGTTGGTAGCCATCACCACGTTCTGTAGCAGTGAGTTCCACAATATAACAATGCACTGTGCGAAGAAGTACTTCCTTTTGTCTGTGCTGAGTCTCCCACCCTTTAGCTTCAGCGGATGACCCCCAGTTCTAGTATTATGAGTGTGGGCTTGGCACCTGCACAGAACTCTGATTTGGAAACTGACAGAGCTGTCTTTTAGGCATGAAAGTCCTCTCACCTGCCCATTGCATAGCTGTCTCTGGCATCTTCTGCAGACTGCCAGGCCAATGCAAAGACCACTTGGCCTCACAGCAGCCTTCATTGCAACAGTGCGACACTTGCCGGACTGAGAACGAGGCTTTTTTGGTGCTGGTTCAGCCACAGCTTCCAAGCAGTACAGGAAATCATTGGGAAAACATCTTCATATCCCATGAGCACACCCATCAGCCTTATTGGATGAACTTACTTTGCAAAGCCTCTTTTGCACTGCCAACAGTACTGCAAGCACTCCTCTCAATATAGCCCCGTTTTCAGACTTTTGCCTAATATTTGCCATCCACCATACAGTTGGGTGTGCTTAAGAGAGTGAGCTGAAGTATGCTTAACACTGTCGGATTGGGACTTTTTTGTCTGTTGAAAACCCCTACTTTGTGTTTGACTTTTACGAGGGGAGCTCTCAGTGTTTAGATTCTTGGAAAACAGAAGCGCTAATTTATTGCTTTCATTTGTTGAACTGACAGCAGATGCGATGGCTCTGTGCCACCTGATTGGATGCGGTGTGCCGTAGATATCTGGTTTAATTTGCCATCTGTTGGCTGTATTATTTTTGTTACATACCCTCAAATAATTCGACCGTCAAAGTATGAACAACATCCGTCTGCTATTCAGGAATCCTTATGACCACAGAGACTATCTAAAATCTCTTTTTAAGAAGGATTCTGGCCATGCCCCAGGGCCCTCCAGCAGCTATTCTGTTGGCTTAACTTGGTTTCCCCTAAGTTGGGGCCCGAATGCATGTTGCCTTGATTAACTGTTGGCAAAAGCAGAGGAGTCTTCCGACTGGCCAGGTCTCAAGGCAGTGCCTTATCTTACTGCAAAGAGCAGCAATGGCTTCATAAAGTGTGGGATTTCTTTCTTCAGGAGAAAGCATCTATATGGCTAAGCAATAAAGATGCTGAACGTCACTTACTAAACCCTTTAGATAAATGGGCTCCAATTATTGATAAAATGAATTTGGACAAGTTCGATTGGGAACACATAAAGTCACCGAAATTTAAGATGCTTGTCTTAGGGTGAGAGTTTGTTACCTGTGTTTTCAGCATTTGATGTTTAGTTATACATAATGGGTTGCGCAGCCTTTTAACTTGATAGGGCTCTCAGTGTCATTAACTGAATAACATTTATTTTTGGTTATTCTGTAGTTTTGTTTCTTCACTCTGTGTGCTTAATCAATTTTATCGAAAATTTAATGTTATTTCTTTGTACTTAATGTATTACGATGACGTTCGAAATTTAATAAACAGATATTTTTTTATTTATTTTTTTAAATCTTACTGCAAAGAGCTCCTACCTGGGTTGCTGGCTACAACCAAGTTCTTCGTTGCTGTCCTTTACCAGCTAATTCTCAGGACGTTTACCCCAGATGGTTCCAAACTCCATGATTTGTGTTTTCAGTCTTGACGCAGCATTCGAGGGGCATTCCTTATTTAGCTTCAAGTTTCCCCCCTGGTTTGGATTGATCAAAAGGGACCACAACAGAGCCTCTTGCCTTCCTAATACCCTTTTCCGTAAACATAGCATAGCTGGCACAGCCATCAGCTTTCTAACTGTGCCAGCAGCCATGTTAACTGGTTATTACTCCCAAGACTTTTCTGCCCAGTGCCCGTGTCCCCACGTAGCCCCAGATGTGGGGATCTCCCTCACTTTTCCTTTCCTTTCATGGTCGACTTATTTGAGCAAAGGTCTCAAGTCAGGATCTCCCTCGCTACGTTTGTCCGAACTTCTCTATCAGGAACCCAGAACTAACTTTCTTGTGGTAGTCTTAGCCAGCCTTCACCTGGGTCCAGCAGTGGATGAAATTGTTTTTCCCCCCAGCCCGTGTAGACTCATATGTAACTTTCATGGCTTCGTTGTTTGCATTGTCTGCAAAATTCAAGCTAAAGTTGTGCTTGGAGCCTAATTTTTCACAACCTGATTAGTGTTTTGGGACCACCCTATTTACTTGCTTCTTATTAATTTTCATCTAATCAGTTCATGTTGTTGTTCTCTCGTGAACCCTTGTGCTTTATGTGTGTTTTAATTTAGCTTAAGATTGTAACAGCCTTTGGCCATATGCAATCAATTGTATTACTACTATTACTACTATATAGGAATCTTAGTAAGACCTTCAGATCCTTGTTAGAAAGACTTGTCCTCTTTGCTTTGAA